TCCCTACTCTATCTTTTTTACATTACTAGCAATCCAAGATTCCAAAATATCTATGTTAACGTCACCTGTAGCAACACCTATCATAATTTTCTCGGTAGATTCATCATCTGCATCCAAATCGTAACTGTTTATAGCTAAAAACATCGAAATGGCAAGATGGCCAGCTCTTTTATTTCCATCCAAAAATGCATGATTTTTAATGATACTCTCTCCAAGAGCGGCAGCCATTTTAAACAATAATGAAATCGATTGAGCTTCTGAATAATAAAACATCCACTGTGGTCTGTGTAAAGCGGATTCAAGTAAACCCATGTCACGAATATACTGTTTCTGTCCATTGGTTTCCATCATTTCCTTATACAATTCAAGAAAAACGCGAATATCAACGTATTTTGGCTCATTTGTGAACTTCACGGAATAATTCTGGAATAATCTACCATTACAGTCAGGTATTTTACACGATATAGAAAGATCTGCAATATACTAAAAGGTTATTCTAAAACCGATTCTATTTAAAAAAAAAAAGCGTTTTTTATTATCTAAAAGTAACAATCAGTTTTAAAAACACCTTTGAAATTTTCTTGCAAAAGTTATGTAGTCTAAGAATCCGTGGGGATCCCTGAGGTGGTTTTCCAATTGATGATCTTTTACCAAAAATAGAAATGATCTGCATTACACGAATTTGAAAAATCCCTGACTCACTTGTCCCGCAGTCTTTTGTAGAGATTCCGATTTTTGCGGAGAATATATTTGCCTACCTCCCTTTGCAAATCTTGCGAAGGCGTACGTTCTATAACAAATTATGTGCGCCAATAAGAATAAAATGAAGAATATTGGTATATAAGAATTAATGGTTAATTTAATGTAAGATTCCACACGACTCGTACCTAAGATCTCCCCCAACGTTTCTGTGTTTGAAGATGGACCAAATTCGGGAGGCAATAGATAATTTTGACGTCTGTATCGTCCCGATAACCCTTAGTGCAATTATCAAAGTCATAAGTGGCTTATTTTAAGGAAAAACAGTATATAAACTTTAATACTTACTTTGGAAGAGAATACCCCATTTTGAAAGAAAGTCTGGGAGACGCATTTCAGGAGCAAAAAAAAAAAAAATCAGATGGATATAAAAAAATGTCTCAGGTGATATTTGTCAGATCACATGATATTAGCAGTAAGATTGTGTATCTTTCCCCATATATAATCACGCTTCAGAGTTTATTTTTTGTGGTTTATATATAAATATATTGCAATCGAAAATAAATACAATATACAGACAATCCAAAAAAAGCATCTAAGATTATTGATAAGCATGAAATTTGAGTTTACTAAGGCTGTCGACGATGCTTTAAGCGTACGGCTTGGTTGGGATACTGCTTTAAAATTAAGATGAGTAGGCTCGAAGAGCCATTGCTCTGCAATAGAACAAGCTTTGATAATTGAATAATAATTTTTTTTCATTATTTATTAACGCAGTTATATAATTCATCCTATCTGCCACTTCTTATATTATAGACGTGATTGGAGTTATGTGTGGATGTGAATTAATAACAAGCACAATCTATTATTGCGAAGCAATGACCCTTCGGGTCTAAAACAGGTTAATATGTAGGGCCTAGCCCATTGCTTGGCAATAAAAATCAAAGTAAAAAATGTTACCAGCCCTCAGGGATAACGAAATAAAGTCTAAAGTGTCAGCCCTCAGGGATGATTTTATTTTAAAGATACATAGCCCGAATAAAATATTCATACAAAAAAAAAAAAAAATAGGTAATTCTTTTTAATCTTTTTTAAACTTAAATTTTCTCACTATCCATTAGATAAATATTAAAAGTTATGATAAAGCAACTCAAAACAAACGTTCGTTTTGTCAAAAATCGCTTATTTCTCGAAATTCTACATAAGAAGCACTTTTGGTGCTCCAATAAAAAGTTTTCGTTGGGCATTTTTACTATATAAACCACATTCTAACCAGTAATCCTAACTCTAACATAAATGAACAGTAAAAATTTTTTGCTGCGCCACAAACCAGCACACATTCAAATAATGAGAAATTTAAAATCGCCACCCCAAAAGTTTCGAACATCACGTGGCAACTATATCGAACATCAAAAATGTAACTTGAACAAAAAATACAAACGAAAAAAAAATTTATAGACTAACAAAATAATAACAAGCAATTTTGTTTATTTCGAATAAACTCAATAAACGTAATATTTATTACAGCCAGAAATTATTATGATTACGGTTTTTCTAAATATTTGGAATAATTTAAAATGATTATAATCCTCTTCCAATTTATGCAATGGCTCAAAGTATTTATTAATACTATCGAACCATTTGTTACTATTTGGATTCTGTGTTTTCTTCAATAATTTTTTTTGTTGCGTTCTGGATTCAGTATTATAAAAACTTTTTGCTCAAATAAACAATCAGAGTTATAGTCTTCCGGAAGAACATTAAAAATAAAATCTACAAGGTAATTGCATTTCTTGATTAGTTTTTTACAATTTTATTTCGATTTTCATTCTTTTTTTTCGTTAATTATTAGTGGAATTGGTTACGGCAATCGATGTATATTTTATAAGATTTAATTTTATGTCTTTAAAAGAATCACTTGGTTTGTCGAGACTGCAACGATCGCTTTTCATTTTGAAGAATCGAAGGATTAATATTTTATAAATATTATTATCATGATCCTAATCAGTTATTCAACTTCATGCACGTGAATTTGGTTAATTAAGTCGCGTTTTTTTAACGTTAAACGTTTAAAAGTATACACGAATACTTTACCATTTTTTACACTTAACTGCTAGTCAATATGGCAGATAATAATTTACCACTATTTTAACCTTATATCATTCATTAATAACGAAAAACGGTATCTAAGAAAGTGTGTATACAATTCCAATGTCATACACATGTATGTGTATATATTTAAGACAAAACGCCATGTATAGAAAACTCTCGTATCGTACGTCATTTACAATCATTTCAAGAGCAACTCGACAAATTGCGAGCAGAAGCGGAAAGTTGTTGGGAAGTTGATTACAATAAATTCATTCAATTAAGGTTTAATATGATCTAACTTGACCTAATCTCGACCTTTGATTATGGATTATAAGAGGATATTCAAAAGGCTTTGAATGATCACTATCTTCTTATACACGAATATAATGCAATCAAAGATATTGTTCAAATGTTGTTCGAGACGGTAATGATGAATAATGAAGATATTAAACCATTCATATCCATTTTCATATATATGTATATATTTTTCACTTGAATAATACATGAAGTGTGCTGAACTCGATGGTACTGTACAACAACAAAAGAGATCTTAACAGAAATGTATGAGCGGTTTGGACTAGATCTCAACAGAAAATGTATGGGCGGTTTGGATTAGATCTCAACAGAAATGCATAAGCGATTGGGATTGATTGAAAAACGGGTATATTATCAATACGTTTAGTATAAAATTCGAGTACACTAAAAGTTTTGTTTTCGAAAATATTGTAGATTTCAAGCATACACTTAAAATATAATAATAATAAATATATACAATATATTGTAAGATTTAATACCAGTGGATTACATAATTGTCTGTTTCTTGTAAAATGCAATCTTTATTACGTGAGTTTTATAAGACTATAATTGAAAATTGTTTTTATCATGTTAACATATCACTAGAGATGGTATACGATTAGTGTTCCAATCCGATAATGCATCATCTGTTTTATTGTCGGATATTTGTCACAGGAACCGTTTTTATCCGTGATCCGATTTACATAATCCGATCAGTTAATTTATCATATTATTCGTGATATAAAATTATGTATAAATTACATAATAATAAATAATAATTATTATTATTTAAATTTGTAACAT